GAAAGAGTGAATCACTGCACACAAAGCTGTAAACATGTCAGGTGAGTCACTTCCTTCAAAGTCCGCCTGTAATCACCATCATTATAACGTAGTGTTCTCTTCTCAAAGCTGCTGGTTGAAGGATGAGTCACAGAGTGTGTGTGTGTGTGTGTGTGTGTGTGTGTGTGTGTGTGTGTGATAATAACACACAGCCAGTCTGTGGAATATGAATTAAAATCTGGTATAAAAATGAACAGTCACATGTTAGAGACAAACCAGACTTACATTTACTCTGATGATGTCACTGATGATGTCACTGATGATGTCACCGCTGTAGGTCTGTAGTCGTTACGGAGCCATTCATCCTGATAAATAAATAATGAATTTTTTTTTAAAATTGAAATAAAATAAGATATTTTAAAATTAAAAAATGTATTAATAAAATATATATATTTGACATTTTCTGGTCATTGAAATATTTGTCAACCTGTAAGATAAAAATCGTTAACGCTAATGCTAATGCTAATGCTACTGATTGTTGAAGCGGGTTTAACGGAGGCATTCATATTTAAAGGATTCCACTCTTCGACGTGTAACTGATATTTCTGCGGCTGTACAGCAGTGACAACAGGATCAGCTACTGGTCTGACAGCCACACGCCTCTGATGTGCTTCTACCTGCCCCGGTGTCCTGGTTCAACCCCACAGGCGGGGCAGTTCAGAAGCCAAGGCTTGTTGTTGACCAATCAAAGCCCACGGTGTTTGATTCTTGATCTTTCTGTTTGTATAAATACACAGAGTGTGAAAAACAGGAAGTTGAAGATACAGACCTAACCCTAACCCAGGGGTCTCCAACCCGTGGCTCCTGACCCCCACGAGGGGCTTTACAATAGCAGTAAAGCTGTTTCGTATATATCGTATCGTAAAAATAGCAGTTACCAGTTAGTTGAAGGCAAATGTTTGCCTTTGGCGCCCCCTAGACTGACTCACATTGGTTTGGCCCAGTCCCCTCTCCTTATGTTGAGAGTCAAGTCTGTACACACAGACACAAATAATCACGGACGACTGGTTATGAAGTGGCGATAATTGAGACGTTTGACAGTGACATCTAGAGGACGGAGACGAGAAAGATGAGGTGAGAGAAGAAGAGAACAAACAGCGGAGGTTTGTGAAGTGAGAGCGGGGGAGGGGGGGAGAGAACCCCCCCCCCTCAGCTCTGAGGTGTGAGGAGCTGCTGGAGGTGTGAGCTGTTATTCTTAGCCTCATCCTTCTCGTTCTCCTGACGTTCTCTCCTAAACGGCGGTAGCG